GAATGAAGACCCCCAAGACTGTCAGAGGGGGAGGCTGAGAGGCAGCAGCTTGCACGGTGTGAATCCTGCTGTGTGAACTGGACGAAAGTCACTCCTCCCTGTAGCCTCAGGTTCCTTGCCTACAAAATGAGAATGATGACTTCACAGCTCTGCTCTGGGAAGCAGGTGAGGTGACGGATGTAAAACGTTAGGTGCGTGGTGGATAGGCTGATGCGCCTGTGGCGTTGAGTCCCAGCTGCTCCACTTCTGATCCAGATCCCTGCTATTGGGGCTGTCAAAGCAGCGGAGGACCCCTGCAGCCACAGGGGAGATCCAGAAGAAGCTCCTGGCTTCCAGCTTCAGCTCAGTCCAGTTCTGGCCATTGTGACTGTTTAGGGGATGAACCAGTGGATGGAAGAATGATCTCCCTCGCTCTCCCTGTAACTCTGATTTCTAAATAAAGTAAATCTTTTAAGAAAACAATTAGGTGCCTTAATAAGATCTTACATTCAGTAAGTGTCCTTTCATCTGCCAGGCCCAGAATCAGGCTGGGCTGGTTTTTCTGTGTCCTTGCCTGATTGAACAGATGTCTTTTTAAAAATATATATTTATTTATTTTAATTGGAAAGTCAGATTTACAGAGACTGGCTCACTCCCCAAGTGGCTGCAATGGCCAGAGCTGAGCCGATCCAAAGCCAGGAGCCAGAAGTTTCTTTTGGGTCTCCCACATGGGTGCAGGATCCCAAGTCTTAGGCCATCCTCCACTGTTTTCCCAAGCCATAAGCAGGGAGCTGGAAGGGAAGTGGAGCAGTTGGGATATGAACTGGCGCCCATATGAGATCCTAGTGCATGCAAGGTGAGGACTTTAGCTACTGGGCTACTGCATCAGACCCATTAACAGGTGTCTTTCATTCCATTATTCAGAACATATTTTCTGCCCAGATGGCGAGGCAGATCCGAGCTTATGGAGGATGAGGGTGGGGCAGGAGCAGGCTCAGCCTAGGCCTGGGAGTTTGCTGAGAATATTTGCAGAAGATCTTTATATTTGTATGCTTTATGATTTATTTGAATGGCAAAGCGACAGAGTACAGAAGAGAGCGAGCAAGCAGGCGCGCCAGAAAGATTCCACTTGCTAGTTCACTCCACAAATGCCCCTCACAACTGGGGCTGGGCTGAGCTTGACTCAGGAGCCCAGAGTTCCACGCAGGTTTCCCGCAGGAGGTACAAGTGCTGGAGCCCTCACTTGCTGCCTGCCTGCGTGTGCAACAGGGAGAGGCTGTGCTGTAGCAGCTGAGTGTCTTAGGCACCACTGCACCCGGCACCATCCCAAGACGGGCTGAAAAAAATGTCTATCTGGACAAAGTAGGGACAGAGGCATTGGCCAAAAAGAAAAAAGATAAAGTTCAGCCTGGCCTGAGAGAGGCCCTCAGAGTGCTTCGTGTGGCTATAGCCTTTTTCCACTTGTCCCGCCAGAGGAGTAACCCCATATGCTGCTATTGGGTGTCCCTCCCTATATTAAGTTCCCAGTGGCTTTGCTGTCTGCTCTAAGTGTGAGTCCTGCTGCAGAAGTAGAATCCAGCTGTGGCCGCTTGCAGTCTTGAAGGGAGGAGGCCCACTCGCTCAGACCTGCAGCCCCGTCTGCCAGCATCCATCTTGGGTGTTGGGTGGTCTCTGGATCCCCATGTTGTGCCCTGCAGGTGGATGCCAGACACTCCCGGGCCCTCGTCTCCCTCCTGGGTCTCTCTGCCTCCCTCCCTCAGCTGAAAGTTTCCTTGCCCTGCCTTGGTGTTCGCAAATCACCTGCTTCTGACAGTAGCTCCTACAATGGAGGAAGTTTCACAGTTGGCCTCATGGGGGCCGTAATCACCAGACTGGCCCTGTAGATAGCATCTCTTGTCTTGAGAGCTCTTCCCCGAACCCCAGGTCCTGGGCAGAAGTCAACAGCACCAGACTAACCACACACTTTGCTATCACCCAAATTCCCCCAAAACATGAAGTTGTTGATGAAGCAACAAGAGGGCCATAGGCACTGCAGCCCAGCCAGGGGCCCGCACACAAGCCCAGCACAGTCTGGAGGAACCGTCACCCCAGTGTTCCAGGAGCCCTGGGAGGTAAGCGGCAGCTGCCCGGCTCCTTGCTCTGTGCACTCTGCAGTACATACCCCCTTGTTGCCCCGCGGTGTCCGTGATGGGCTGCATGCTCGCCAGGTTTGGGGAGTTTTGGGAGAAGATCATACTTGGAGCGAACATGTCAGAATGCTGGTTTACAACCTCTCACCTGGGACTGTGAACCCTCTGCCATTAAAGACAGAATCCATGTGTGTGCCGGGAACAGCGAGAGAAAGAGCAGAGCGGGGGAATTGGGTTTGTCCTTCCCATGGGGAGGGCAGTGTGCAGAGGGGACCTGGCCTGAGAGAGGTCAGTCCTGGTGACCTGATAGCAGCCATGGCTCGGGCAGGGGCCTTTACAGAAGAGCGAGGTGTGCACCAAGGCCGGCAGAAGCCCACGTCCATATTCAGTATTATGACAACGGGATCGCATTCCTCTTTCAGTCGGAGGTGCTGGACTTGCACATTTAAGCAAAGTGCCAGTCACCACAACTGGAACGCCAATTCACAGAGAAGATTCTAGAATGATGCCTTCCAATATGGTAGCTGCATACGTGGCCAGTGAGCACTTGAAGTGTGGCCAGCCCCAACAAAGATGTAACGTCAGTGTGAAAAATGCATTGGATTTTAAAGATCTACCACAAAAAAGAACATAAAGGATCTCATTAAAATTTCTGACTACTTGCTGAAATGACAATCATTTGAATGTAATGAGTTTAAGAACATGTATTACTAAGACTAGTTTCATGAGCCTTTTTTTGCTTTGATGACATGGCTACTAAGCAGCTTGTGCCTGTGGTTTGCACTTGTATTTCTTTTTTTTTTAAGATGTATTTATTTTTATAGCAAAGTCAGATATATGTGTGTGTGCGTATATATATATATATATATATATATATATAGAGAGAGAGAGAGAGAGAGAGAGAGAGAGAGGAGGAGAGACAGAGAGAAATATCTTTCATCCGATGATTTGCTCCCCAAGTGGCCACAATGGCCAGAGCTGCACCGATCTGAAGCCAGGAGCCAGGAGCTTCTTCTGGGTCTCCCACGCAGGTGCAGGCTCCCAAGGCTTTGGGCCGTCCTCGACTGCTTTCTCAGGCCAAGGATACAGGGCTCTGGGATTGGAACCAGGGCCCATATGAGATCCCGGAGCATTCAAGGCGAGGACTTTAGCCACTAGGCTACGCTATTGTGCTGGGCCTGGCACACTATATTTCTTTTGAAAAAAGATTCTGGAAGTCTCAATGTCTTTCAGCAAACCACATGGTGGGTGATTGGCCAAATGCGGAATTATCACTAGAATGAATTTGTTTTATACATCAGCAATCCTAAGGAGCCACTTCTTAAAGATTTGCCTTGCTGGGTTGGGTTTTGCTGCAGCAACAGCTGGCAAGTGCTGGAACTGGGGCAAAGTCCTGTTGAGCTAGACTGCAGAACCACCTGGAGTGTGCAGGATCTGGGGCAGGGAGTGGGTTCACTGGTGAGAATCTGGGCACCTCTCTGATGGGCTGCAACTCCCACTGGCAAGCATGAGAACCTGGACTGGGGGCGGGCCTGGCTTGACAGGCCACAGTGGCACCCACTGGCATAAGTGTGTGCTGGAGGGTGGAGTTAGTTGGGCATGGAACTGGGCATCCAGACTAGTGGCCAAGATGTCTGTAGTGTCTGGCTTTGACCCTCACTTCCTGTGAATGCAGAACCTGGGAGGTGTGGTGCTGATGGCCTGAGCGATTGGGGTCTTGCTACCCATCTGAGGGGCCAGCCAGCATCTTTAGCTGCTAGATTGAATGCCTGCCCCATGTGGGATTTTATACCATAGGCCAAATTCCAAATACTGATGTGTGATAAAGTGATAATTCTTTGTAAAATGAGCATGTGGGACTGGTGTTGTGGCACAGCAAGTAAAGCTGCTGCCTGACACCTGCATCCTCTGTGGATGTTCCACTTCTGATGCAGCTCCCTGCTTAACATGCCTAGGAAAGCCGCAGAAGGTGGTCCAAGTCCTTGGGCCCCTGTACTCTTGTGGGAGACCCAGAAGAAGCTCTGGGTTTCAGATTGGTCCAGCTCCAGCTGTTGGGCTCATCTGGGAGAAATAAATCAGTGGATGGACTCCTTGCTCCCTTCCTCTTTCTCTGTAACGATGCCTTTCAAATTAAGAAACAAAAATAAGTCTTTAAAAAAAAGAACAGTGGATACAGTTGTTAACTGTTGACCTCCTTGCCCATCCTGTGAGACCATTCTCCAGCCCCTGTGACCTCATTCCTAGCGGCTTAGCTGGAATCTTCTTTGCATGGTTGCTGTGGGCCCTGGGTGCCCCCTCGCTCATTGAGAGAACCAAAGTCCCCAGGCCTGATGAGTGACCACTGCAGGTGCACAAGGACTCTGCCTTCAGGCAGAGCATCTTTAAACCGCACACCGAGCGCTCCTGAACCAGGCTAAGATGGCACCTGATGTCACACCTTTGTGTCACTTCTCCCCTTTCCCTGTCTGGCTCCCTCAAATCCCTTACGTGTTTCTCCTGGAGGCATTTTCTTAATGAACCATTCATTTCAGGGTCGGCTTGTGTTGGATCCTACCACAAACACAGTCAGACAGGGTGGACAGTGGTCTTGACCTTGGGTGGAAGACGTGAGTGTGAGAGGGATTCCAAGCTTGTGTTGAGGGCCTGGTGGCTGAGCCTAGCTCAGCAGGGGCTGCAGCAGGGGGATCGTCTGTGTCACCCAGGCCAGGTCAGTCAAGTCGCGGGGAACATCACACAGCAGCCATGTGTCTTGCCCTTGGACCTTTTCTTTTATTGCTCTTTAGCCAAGCTCTCCCCCTGAGCACTGCCCCATGTCCATCGGGGCCTCAGGGCCGCGGAGTTGAGACTGTATCCCACTCTCTCTCTTTACCATCTCCACGACACCCCGCCCTCTCACAGAGTATTTTAACATCAAGATTGAAACAGGAAGTCAGCTGAGTTGGGCAACACAGAAGCGTTAGTTCTAGGTCTACATTTATAGAAAATGGGAGTGGGGTGGGGGAGAACCCTGAGTCCATGGGATACGTCCACACCGTGGGTCATCACACTGGGAACCGGGCAGGTGGGGGGGGAACAGGTGTCCGATGCTGGAGACCCGGGGCTGTCACAGATGGCCGCCTCAGGCCAGCAGAGAGCTTTAGAAACAACCTAGAAAGATACTGTCTGCGTTCACTTCCTTGTAATGAAGATTAAGACGAAGTGAAAGCAAACCTGGAAACCCACATTAACCAACCAAATACACACGGGACACGGCAAACTCTGAGTCTCCAGTCAAAACGCCCTCAAATAGGCACATGTTTATCTGTGGAGCCGGAGAGATCTTTGGGGCTCTGCCACCCTCCCCACCCCCAAGGCAGGGGCCGCTGTGTCCTTGCAGAAGGGTACAGCAGCTTCTGAAGGCTCTGGGGTCTGATCACACCAGTGGTACTGGCACAGTTGGGTGGCATAGGGGTCTGCAGACCCCATTGCTCTAAGACAGTGACTTGCATGAAGCTATGTGCCCTGTATACTTCTTGAGGGATGGTGGGATTGGCATGTAATCGACAATGCATGTGTTGGCCCTTGACAGGTGCACATGGCATGTTGGTTGGTGAGTGGCCAGTCCCAAATGGGTGGGGAGGGGGGCGGTCTAGTTTGCCACTAACCACCGGGCCAAGGGGCTTTACAAAGTTCATGGAAGATGGAGTGAAAAATGGCTGCACATTTGCCACGAATACCTGAAGCTTCCTTGGGTTTTCAGAGCCAACACACTGCTTGACGCCCAGCAGACACGCAAGAGCTATTCACTGGGGAATGAGCTGATGCGAAGACAGATCTCTTTCCCCAAGAATACACCTGTAATGACCTTTCCTTGGCTACCAGGAGGTCGCCAGGCTCTCAAAGTGGAATCATAATTCACTTTTTCCCCGGTCCTTTGAATGTTTTTGGGTTGAAACTGAGTTTTTTTTTTTTTTCTAACTACAACCAAGAATTAGATCTAGCCAGAGAGTCTTAAAAGACTCTGGTGAGTTTCAGGAGGAATAACTCATGTTCAAGGCCAGAGCTGGCCCAGACCTGGTCATTGATGGCAGGGCCAGGCTGGGGGCCCGGTGCTGTCTGATGTCTGTGTGGGAAGGATGGGAAAATAGCACACCCAGCGATGGAGGAGGGACCGGGTTTGGAGGAGGAGACGCCTGCCTGGCTAGCTGCTTGGAGAGATGGCCTCCAGAACAGGAAAAGTGGAGCTGACGGGAGGCAGAAGGGCAGGGAGCGGCCAGGGAGTGGCCAGGGAGCCCAGGATCCAGCAGGAGAAGGTGGATATGGCCAAGCCGTGACATCTACACGGAACTCCACATGTGCTGGTCTGGGGAGAAATCCCAGGTGCCTGCGACCCTGAGAAAGACGAGGCTACAGAGAAGCTCGCAAACGAGATGTTTCCAGAAGGATCTAAGGAAGGATCAGCCCCTCGGAGACTGGGCTAGTCAGAGACTCTGAGAGAGGGAGTAAGGAATGAGTAATCACGGACAGGCTCGAAATGACAAAGGCTCTTCAAGGGATGTTGAAGAGGTCCTTCTCCATGTGTTCCGCTTTACCTCTAGGCTGTGATCCCAGCATCTCCTGTCCGTCCCCCTCATCCTCTGTTTGGTTTTTGGACTAGAGACTAAGAGCTCTTGGGGTATGGCTAGGGGACATGGCATTTTGTGTTGGGTTTTGTTTCCTGTGTCAGGGTTGGACTGGAACGGTCACGGCCAACTGTTGTCAGGAGGGCTAGAGCGAGGCTGACTAAGACTCCTTCCCAGGAAGGGTGAGATGCAGACACCTCAAATCCCACCCACTTCCCAAAGAAGGCCTTCCAGCAGGGTCATCCAGTCCAGGTCAGGTGGGGGCAGGGTGGGGGAGGGCCTGGAGGGGCTCGGTGCGGCGGGGGAGGGGGGGACATCTGGAGAACTCAGGGTAGAGGGGGCACATCAGGGCGCCTGCGGGTCAGGGCACCATGTGCCACCACTTGAAGGCGAAGGGCTTCCGGAGGACGTTGGTGCCACAGTGCACCTCCCCCAGGAACTTGTGGTAGGCGGAGATGTCATCGATGAACGTGCAGGACAGGCCCAGTGGCTCGAGCAGGGCACGCACCTGCGTCTCCAGGCAGCACTCCTCTCCAATCTGGGGCCCAAACGGCTTGGGGATGCCCAGGTCTTTGTTGAGCACGATCATATTCACCTGCAGTGGGGAGCGACCCTTCAGAACAAGCACCTTCAGTGTGTCTGGCTCTGCTCCAAGCTCCCTGAACCCTGCAGACCACAACGCCGGGAGCTGGGCACTCTGACAATGCCCTCTGTTCTGGGCAGGGAAATGGGGGTGCATTGTGAAGGCAGAGCTGGAGGGGGGCTGACTGCCTGTGAACGGGTGTGTTGTATGTGTGTGTGTGTGTGTGTGTGTGTGTGTAGGCGCGCTGGGTATAGGCATGCACAAATGTGCATGTATGCACTGTGTGTGCATGCTGGTCTAAGCTCTTTTTATCTCATGGAAAGCTCCCCTCTGTCATAATAAATCCTTCGGTCCACATAGGATCTTTTGCCTTTTGCAAAGACCTTTCCTGATTCTTAGAGTCCAAGGTCCCCAGGATACCAGGGAGGCAGTTAGAACGAACACATCAGGCCTAGGAGGGAGTGGCGAGGATGTGGTGTGAGGCCACACAGCAGCTTAGCCTAGACTTGGACCTGGGTGTCCTGATGGCACCCCCTTGGATCTGACCGTCCCCCTGGGCTTGGGCCGCGGGCTCACCATGTTTGGGAAGAAGGCTCTGGCCTGGCGGCCCTCATCCATCTTGAACAGTGCGGGCAGGTCGATGATGTCCTGCTCTGTCAGGCCCAGCTCCTTCTTCAGGATGTCGCGGTTCCAGTCGAGGCAGCGCTGGGCAGGGGGAGGAGAACACGCAGGTAAAGTGACACACACCTGCACCCGGTCCCTTCCCACCCGGGTCCATAGTACTAGGTCCGGGGCCTCAGTGTTCCAGGGCCTCCCAGCACTCGGCTGGCACCCATCCCACCGCCATCCATCTATCCTGGGGCCCCCTCTGCCAGGTGCTCAGGCACAGCTGCAGGAATAGTGAAAGCCATGCGGTGGAAGCTTCTAGAAACAATGCTGAGCTCTGACCACAAGCCAGGTCCTGGTCTCAGTGCTGCCCACGCTGCAGCACAGGGGCTCTTCGGGAAACCCCCTGAGCTGACAGTAACACTGGCAGTGAATCACGGTAACAGCGACCACAGGTGCCCGGCACCATCCTGAGCACTGTACACGGAATGCTTTTTTAAGCCTTTTCTGTGCTTTTCATTTTCAAAGCTTGGTCCTTTAAATAAAGAGTGACTTAATTGAAACAAATAAGATTGGTTTCTATTTTTCGGATGGAACCCTTGAGACTTAGAGACCAGAGGGTAGGACCCAAGGGCTGGCATCGTGGCTCACTGAGTCAAGCTGCTACCCACAGCACTGGCATCCCATCCGGGTGCTCGTTCATATCCTGGCTGCTCTATTTTCTTCTTCTTCTTCTTTTTTTTTTTTTTAAAGATTTTATTATTTATTTTTACTGGAAAGTCAGATATACAGAGAGAAGGAGAGACAGAGAAAAAGATCTTCCGTCTGATGATTCACTCCCCAAGTGACCGCAACGGTTGGTACTGCACCGATCTGAAGCCAGGAGCCAGGAGCTCTTCCAGATCTCTCACACGGGTGCAGGCTCCCAAGGCTTTGGGCCGTCCTCAACTGCTTTCCCAGGCCACAAGCAGAGAGCTGGGTGGGAAGTGGGGCTGCCGGGACTGGAACTGGTGCCCATATGGGATCCTGGCACGTTCAAGGTGAGGACTTTAGCCGCTAGGCCACCGCGCCAGGCCCCCTGGCTGCTCTATTTTCAATCCAGCGACCTGTTCATGATCCTGGGAGAGGCAGCTGAAGATGGCCCAAGTGTTTGGGTTCCTATACCCATATGAGACCCGAATGGGACTCCAGGCTCCTGATGTTGGCTTGATCCTGCTCTGGGCCATTCTCCAGAGAAGCTCTGAGGATGGGGGCCTGGTCCCTCTCATGGCCCTGTGGCCCTGGCCTCACCTGGAAGTACTGATTCTCCTGCACGAGACTCTCATTGGACAGGACCTTGTTGATGGTGATCCGCTTGCTGCTCATTCCACCCAGGCCTGTGGAGGCAGAGGACAGGTGGGTGGAGCCTCTAGTCCCAGTGCTGACCGCTGGACTGAGAGGGGAGGATGGGAGGGGGCTGGGAAGTGCAACTCTGGGCAAATCAGGCCCCTTTGCCTGGGGTGGTGGCACTTCCTTTTCCAGGGCAGGCCACATCCCCTGAACTGAGATGGGGACAGTGGCTGCCTGACTTGATCTCAAGCTAGTGTGTTGGGAGAAGACCCTGTGGTCACCTGGGTCTCCAGCCCAGAGCCTGCTCATGAGGGTGAGCAGCTGGCAGGGGGAGTGTGGCTGGGGCAGAATTTTCCAGACTTACAGCCTACCAGTGGCAAAGAGCCCGGCGCTATAGGACCCTGTGTCCAACGGCCTCTGTAGCTGTCCTTCCCTGCCCTCTGCCCAGGTGGGGCAGGCCCTGGTTGTGGGTCCCACTACATCACCTGGTCTGGCCCTGCCATTCCACCCACTTTTAACAGGTTCATTTTTAACTTGATCATTCTGCATGGCCCACGAATGATGTCATACATATCCAAATGGCCTTTGGCAGAAAAAGGTTCTCCATCTTTCTAGGGGCAAAAACAATGGTTTCCTAAAGGAAGCTTCCAGAGAATCAAGATCCAGGCTAGCCAAGCCAGGCAACATGGCATCCATCAGTGGGGCACTGGCAAAATAAGGTGTTCTTGAGTTGTTTTCATCTGTCCATGACAGTGTTGGGATATGTATGGGGTGCAGGGATGGCACCAGCCAGCCTTGGGAGTGAGGCAAGCCAGAGACAACAGCCTGAACATGGCAAAGCTAATCTAGAAAAAAAATGCATCATCAGCAGTGATGGTTATTCCACGTGGTATTAATAGCCCTGAATCATGTACTTGCAAATGGCCCCAAATGACAGATATATCTATTTGACCACACCAAAAACAATACTGGAAGTTGCTGTGGCCTCTCTTACCTGCTGTCTGCCTCCACAAGCTCAACTTTCCCTTTTCCCATGACTAATTCAGGCATGTGCCTCATTCCAGCCGCTGGCTGGCTCTGCTGTGTGGACATCTAAATTAAGCAGGTGACTTCTCTCACCAGGGCTGGCAGTGACCGTGGCTGACCAGTGGCCGTATTTTTCGACGGCCACTTTCCTCCCTGTGCCTCAAGTGCAGTGTGTCGTTTCCTCTCTCTGCCTCCCTTCCCAGGATGCAGGCTCCTCCTAGGATGCAGGCTCCTCCAATGCACCTTGCGTGCCTGTTTGGGATCATCCAAGCTGGCCCTGGTCTGGGGCCATGCCAAGTTTACACCACCACTTTGCACTGCTGGTGACATGGAGGAGTCAGCTCACTGCTACGTCTGGCCACAACAAGGGTCACAGGAGGTCAGGGCTGCTTCTTCCATGGCAATCCTGCAAGCCTGGGGTGGTGGACCAGATGTCCAGGGAAATGGAGCTGGGGCTTTGGAGTCCGAGGATTCCTCTGCTCCACATGCCTGAAGTTTGCTCTGGCTCTCTGAGGCTGCTAAGGCTCTGTGGCTACTCACCTTTGAACAAGACGGCCTCCCCGTGGCCCTGCTTCTGCTTCTCTCGGAAGAGCTTGTAGCAGGCAGCGGTACTGGCCATAAGCAACCGGAAGTGCTGGGGGACACAGGACAGAGGTGACAGTGTCAGCACAGGAAGTCGGGGCTGGGGACAAGAGGGCGTTCCTGCCTCAAGGACCTGGAGCCCTTTCTGCCCCGGGGGCTCGAATCTCCCACACCATGGATGCCACAGCTGGTTCTGTGAGGAACATCCCAAGTGGCTTGGAGGTCAGGTCATTTTCACAGCATTTCTGGATTAAGCAGTCACAGTTTTTGTTTCCCAGGAAGTGGTAGAGCTCCATTCCAGCCACATCCCCAGCTGCCCACAGGGTCATTGCCAGTGCAGTAGCCACCAGTACCGTGTCCCCACTGAGATGTTCTTCCCCAGTCAAATGCTCAGCAGATTTTGAAGATCTAGTAGGTACACAAACTGTCAAGCTCTCCTTATTAACTCTATATGTTGAGGCTGGCATGATGGCTCAGCTGTCTAGCAAGCACCAGCATCCCATATGGGCACCAGTTCGTGTCCTAGCTGTCCACTTCCCATCTAGCTCCCTGCTTGTGGTCTGAGAAAGCAGCAGAGCATGACTCAAATCCTTGGGACTCTGCACCCACGTGAGAGACCTGGAAAAAGCCCCAGGCTCCTGGTTTTGGATTGGCTCAGCTCTGGCTCTTGCAGTCATTTGAAGAATGAACCAGTGGATGGAAGATCTTTCTCTCCCTCCTCTGTAAATCCACCTTTCCAATAAAAAGTAATGAATCCTTAAAAATAATTGCATATTCTACAACATTAACATTTTGTGCTTATTGGTTTCAAAATACACCTGCCACAGTGACCATGTACAAACCAGCCTGAGACTACTTCCTTCTTCCTCCACCCCACCCATCTCCTCTTGTCCACGCTCTGCTGGCAAAGGATGGTTAACACGGATTTTCCATACTCCTGTTCATCTTTCATCTCTGGAGTGAGCTCACCTTTGTGCCTGGGATGGGGACGAAGGTCATGAACTCGTCCACATGACCCACGGTCAACCAGTCTGAATAGAGCTCCACGGGTGCCTGCACCTGCTGCGCCTGCAGGAAGTCCCGCACCACCTTGGTCATCCTCCGGCCGCCAGACCTGGAGCAGGGCGGGAGAAGAGACAGCTCTTCAGGAGGCTGCCCCTGTGCCCACCTCCCCAAAGGGTCTGCAGGGAGGGTCAGCCTCGGAGCCCAGCCTGGACCTCGGCAGCACTGGTGGAGAAGGCCTAGGAAGGAGCTCGAGATATGGGACTGAGAGATCCTGGCACAGGGAGGATGGTGTTTGGGCACCAGCCATGGCCATGGCCTGTGAAAGGCACAGAGCCCAGTGCCCAGCCCCTGAGGACGCCAGGGGATGGGGGAGGACAGATACGTACACTGCCGGGGCCCCATGGAGACGAGGGCATCTATTGGTTCATTCTTCAAATGTCCACAATGACAGTGGCTGGGGCTGCACTGGCTGAAGCCTAGAGCTAGGAGTTCAACGGGGTCCCCTGGGGGTGGCAGGGACCCTCCCAGAGTGCATTAGCAGGAAGCTGGAGTCAGGAGAAGAACTAGAACTTGAACCCAGGCACTTGGATGTGGGATGTGGTTATTCCAAGGGGCATCCTAACCCTCTGTCCCGAGTCGAGGGCAGTGTTGGACGGACTGGGTGCTTGTCCCTAAGAAGCTGCCCCTGACTCTCCCTCTTCCTGTTGCCAAATGCCTCTCTCATTCACCTGAGTGATCCTGTGACCCCAGCATGTCCTGGAGGACAGGGCTGGGAGGTTCACACTGGAGAGCCCAGGTGTGACACAGCTGGTCATCAGGGAATAGCTGATGAGAGGATGTGAGTGGAGTGATAAGGGGAGAGGGACAAGCAAGCACTGCTCAAGCCAGTGGTCACCCCCAAGGCAGAGCATCCATTGTGGTTCAGAGACTTGAAGCCCCAATCCTGGCTGACGTCACACATGCAGGTTCCTGGCAGCCTTTCTGCGATGTGAGAACCTGAGGTGTTCACTGTCTACCCAGCGAGTGCCCTGACCCAGGCAGAATCTGCCTTTTCTTTGGCTGGTGGCCTAATTGGGCAGGGAGCAGGGACAGGCGTGGACAAGGCCAAGGGATCCAGGAACTCAGGCTGCTGGGATGGGGCCATGTCTTCTCAAGTCTCTTTTGTGCATGGGCACCCTGAGGGCACAGCACGTCGGGGCATTCCCTTGGATCCTTTGCCAGTGTTCCTTCTCTGTCACCCCTTCCCCATCCGGTTTATCATCTCACTAGACACCCTGCCCTTTAGGGAAGGGAGTAATTTACGCAGCGATCCGGCAGATTCTGATGCATACTAGGGTGTAAAGGCCTCGTTTTCTTTCCCTGCAAGTGTCTATTAACAGAGAGGTATGAGGGGATTGGTCTCCCAGCCACTTGCTCCGTATCTGAGCATCCCAGGGTACCTGGAAGAGGAACAACAGCCCACTCCTCCACCCTCAGCTCCCCCAGCTCCCACCAGCTTCTCTTACAGGGGAAAGCTGCTTCCGATGAGGATCCGGCCGAGGGGGTATGTCTTGCCATTCACAGTCACGGGTGGACTGACCTCCAGGTTCCCAAAGGAATCAAGGCTGGTGACGGGCTCAAAGACGGGTTCCCTGGTCACGTAGCCGAAATCGGGGCCCTGGGTGGAGGGCACATACCTCCTGTTAGTCTGTTGCAGCAGGGAGTTCTGAGCCCCTGGCAGCTGCCCTCTGATGACCACTCATTGCTCTGGCACGTGGTGGTCACATAACCTCCTTCAGTGGGACCCGGGGAACGGAGGAAGGGCAGTAGACTGTGTTGCTGCCCGCAGAGATCTGCTACCCATTTCCCTCTTGCCGCCCATAAGAGACCATCTGCCTCTTGCTCCACTGCTGGGTCACTTCTGTGAAAGGACTTCACTTACCTGCCCCACACAGGCTTGGTCATGTGACTTGCCTTGGCCAATGAGATGTGAGCAGAAGGGACACCTACAGCTAGGAGCAGTCCCTTGAGTGTTTGCTGTCAAGTGATGTACCACAACTCGTGCTGGGAACGTGGCGTTTCCTGACTGGGGCTGCCCCTGTGGACTGGGCTCTGGGGAGTAGGAAGGCTTGGGGTATCGGCTCCCAGTGGATAGCCTCTGCTGTCTTGGGCTGTTGAGACCAGGAACTTCCTGCAGCCTCTCACCACCTACAGGTGTGGTGGACATGCAGCACCAACACTGTCCCCACCCACAGAGCCTGGAGGCAGCCTCAGGATCCATCTTAGCACAGAGCTCCCCCACGCTGCGGAAGGTACCAGACAATCAGGTTCCTTTCAGGATTTTAGGAGTAAAGTTGTAGGGAGCTTGCACAGCCCTGGGGCTAAGCTTGCCCGATGAAAGTCTCTTAAAATCTCTTGGAGTTAGCAGGTGTGGCTCCTGCTGGCCCCACTGAAATGGTCATGGGTTGGCGGTGCTGTGCCTGGTGGGATGGAGGGGATCTGAGCAGCCCTGACGGCTAAGGGGGTGGGGAAGGAGTCTCTTGAGTGCAACCCTGCTCTGCCCCAGGCTCTGTCTCAGTCTCTCCAGGCTGTTGGGGGTGGTGGGCGTAGAGAGGCTGGTTTTGGCTCTGCCTCATACAGCAGGCTGCCGGGGCCTAAGAGGGCAAGGACATTAGCTCTAGAACTGGCGGAGCCCAGTGCTGTTGAAGCAACCCACACCTGTGCTGAAAACCACGGCTTGAAGGGCCTGATGGGCTTCCAAGTAGGAAGCATGGCTTTGTCCTCTTTGAAGCTTACACTGTAGGAGTGGGGCAGGAGCCTCTGGAACTGTGGGCCCCATCTCCCACATGTTATGGAAAAGCCTATCCTCAGAGTGGCAGAGGGCCCTAGGGGTCACCATTCTCAACGGACACATTTCAGAAAGGAGAAAATCAAGGCCTGGGGTAGCCGGTGAACTTGTCAAGGGTGCCGGAGTTCTCCAGATCACCACGTCTCAGCATCCCCAGCGCCCCCCACCTCCTACCAGCGACCCTCAGCACCGCACCAGCAGCTGCTTTATGGGGAAGTCCTTCAGGTTCCCATCGCGGGGGGAGTCCAACACAACTGGGAAGCCTTTGTGGGGAGCTTCAATATAGCCGAACTCGATTTCATCCTGTAGGAGAGGAGGGAGAATCCACAGGTGAGCCCGGTCGGGGCCTGGGAGGGAGGCAGATGCACAGAGCACCTGTGTGAGTGGCAGGTGTCTCAGCATCACATGGGGACATGGGGGCTGGTAGGCAGTCCCCATCTCCAGCTCTCCATCCCCGGGGAACGTGATGGTGGTGGTGCAGCTCAGCTACCAGTGCGCTCCTTTCCGGCCCCCCCATTCACACCGGCAGCAGCATCTGAATGCATTCTCCTTCGAGTAACAACTTAATTAACAACTTAATGCTTTCTGCACTTGTGGGTTTAGATGGGCTGTATTGATTTTAACCACTGCTGGGAATCTCACAGCCAGGTTAGCACCCAGGGCTGCCTGGATGCATGTCTGGGTGGCATTGGCATCTTTGGCCATTCATGACCCAATGCACGGTGTACCTGCCCGCAGAATTAACTGCTGAGTTCAAGGATATGGGTTAAACCCTCCTCTTCCTGCCTGACTCCGGCCACTTCCTCCTCCAACCAGCTGGAGCACCCTACCTGGATCCAGCGGTCGCCGCGGTTCATGTACTGGAAACAGACCTTTAGCTCACAGTTGGCTTTCTCCACCAAGTTCTTCACTTCTTTCAGGAACAGGTAATTGTCCTTTAGGCTGAGAGGAAGAGGAGAAGGCAGGATGAGGAGGGACAAGGGCTGGGGACAGAGAACCCATCTGTGTTCAAAGTCACCTTTGTCAAGACTGATGCACACAGGCCCAGCTACCCACGTGGGGTGGTCAAGGTCATGGCCTCTGGGGCACAGAGAGGCCAGGTGAGTCCAGGTCACATGGCTGGTATGTGACAGAGTCAGGAGCCAATTCAGGTCTGTCTAGCCCTGTGTCCCCCATCCCGTGGCCACCCAGAGGCACCGGCCTCTCTGAGCCATGGCCGTCGCTCACCAGCACACAAACACCGACACAGGGGGCAGGATGTTGGGGGTCATGATCCACGGAGCGATCCGGAATGTCACGGTGTCCGTGAAGATGGGTGTCAGGGGGATCTCCTGGAGGTGGGGAGTATCAGAAAGTCAGTTTTCACTCCTGCTTCCCAAAGAGGGTAGAACTGATGAGAGTCTCACATTCATTGAGCACTTACTGCATACACTACGCTGAGTGTGTTCACAGGCACCTGTTCAGGCGTGCCTTACAGCACACAGAGACTATGATCGTCCTTGCTTTACAGATGAGGGAAACTGAGTCACAAACTGTTAAGTAACGGCCCAAGGTTATGTGGTTAGTGAGCAGCAGAGCCAGGCTTTCAGCCCATGCGGTCTGGCTGCTGGGTCTACACTCCCAGACACCATCTGATCTGGCCCATCAAATTCTCAGACGTCCACCCACCTGGTGCCAAAGCCAGCCCTTTGCCTTCCTGTCTGGCTCTGGGGACCTTGCCCTTCTCCAAGTGAGCATTTAGGCCTTGCTTGGCAGCTGTTCTGCTAGGCCCAGAGGCTTTTCTGTTTTAGGGAGTGGCTCAGGTAGTTTGCCAGGGGCTGGAGGAAATGAACACAGGACTTCTGGGGGCCTTGGCGTGGCTGCCCTCGAAAAACCACTGGAAGTGGGCAGGGAGGGTGTGAGCAGGCAATGCAGGGGTAGTTCGTCTCTCTTGCTCTGCACTGTGCGGGCCCTGCTGGTGTCCTGGAGGGGCCCAAGAGGCTGCCGTGAGCTCCGATGGGCTCAAGTTTGGGTGCTTTGCTCTGTTTCACAGATGGGAAAACCGAGGCACTGGGTAGTTCACTTGCAAAGGGCCTCACGGTGGCTGAGTCAGGGCTGATTCCAGAGCTGAGCCCAAGTCCATGGTGGACCAAGCCCTTCCCTTGTGCTGCCGCAAGATGGGCTGGGGCACACACGGGGGTGGGGTGGGGGTCGGGTCCTGTTTGTCAGCAGGAAGCACTTTGAGCCAGGGGGCCAGCAGGAATGTTCCAAAGTAAAAGTACAGCTGGCTGAGCTGTCCATACCAGGACAGAGCCCAATCTGAAACCTGGACTGGAGATAGAGCCTGGGGTCAGAGCGAGGCTCACCTGCAGCTGGGCCAGGAAGGACTGGACACAGTGCATTGAATACATCTCACCTGGGTGGCCCAGCTCGAGCCTTGTGCTAACCACTGGGCCTCTGACCCAGGCCCACAGCGCTGCAGGGAGCTGGGTAAGAAGCCACGACCCCCCACAAGTCCCTGTCCAGCAGATGTAGCAGTACTAAGGACTGGTACGGCAGACCTGTGTAGACTGCCTCCCCCATCCCAAATGGCTTTTTGAAGGGAACCTAGCACAGACAGCACGAGCTCCTGGCACTTGCCCTGGCCCAGGGTGCGATGGCCTGAACCCTCACCTCGGTCATGTACTCCAACAGGCTGACGTGGATGGAGACCAGGCCGGAGAAGCCTTCGTCGGGGAAACGCAGGCCTTCCACGAAGAAGAGCAGCTCCGCCGAGCCGCCCGTGTATTTGACCACATGGTAGAGCTTCCGCCGGCCCAGGATGTGGATGTAGCGCTGGCCGAAGAATGGGTCTGCGGTGGAAAGGGACCTGCCCCATTAAGGAGAGTCCCTGGCAAGTGGAGGTAGGACAAGGGGGGCAGAACAACTGTCCTCTAGACACACAGAGAAAAGCGTAGGCAGAAACTAGCCATAGCCCCATCATCGTTGCTCACTGCCCAGCACTGCTGCGTGGCGCCATACCTGCCTGGGTCCCCTGCCAGGGTCCTCAGGCACCTGGTGGCTGACTTTGTCACCTGTGCACAAGCTTGGCCCCTCATGGATGGCGCGCACAAAGAGAGGGCAGGCGGTACTGAGGGCATCGTGCTCAGATTAGTCGCACATCACAGGTAGGAAAACCGAGTCTCCGAAACGAGAGAGGGCTTCTCTAAGATCATAAGGCCATGAAGTGGCTGGGCTGGGACTCAAATTCAGGCCCAATTTTGAGTCCCACACTCTCATTCCTTTTATATCAATAAAACATGGGTGTGCCCGTTTGTATCACAAATTCTCTCCATGTAATGGAAACCATGAAGGGGCAGATGCAGGACTTCTCACGGACAAGTGTCCCCTGAGACCTGCTGGCTGGACGCAGCGCTGGTCCCCCATGTGGACACTTGTGTCCAACTTCCTTCAGGCCCTGGTTTGTGTCATTTGTAAAAGTCCAGCCAAGATCTTCACAAGAGTGGGATTTGGGGGTTTCTGCAGCCCTTGGCTTTTCCCTGTTGTAGTCTTTCTGAACAAGCTTGGCCAGCGGGCAGACAGGGACAGATGGAGTCAGACTGGTACCTGTCTGCCACGTGGTCATGCTTAATAATTGTACGCTGATAGAACCAGTGGCTCCCTGCTGGGCAGGCCAGGCCCACATGGGGGATTCAGAGCACACAGAGTGAATGACCGGTCAGGGCAAGGACGGCCAAAGGCATCCTCTCTCCATGAGCGGTGCTAGGCCGAGGACGAGACGGCGAGGGCATGGGAGGCGTCCGAGGCAGGGGAGGGTGGGAGTTCTTGTCTGGTTACTTGGGGCAGGGAGAAGGGCAGGGGAGGCAAGAGGGGTTGGGGGGCATCTGTAGTGGGAAGGAGGACGAGGAAGCGATCAGTGAGTTCCTGTGGGTGTCAGCGTGGGAGCAGGAGGGAGAGAGATACTTGCTACTTGCGTTGGTAAAGGCATGGCGATAGGGCCCTAGGCAGTCTCAGCAGGAATCCCTTTAAGCTCTGCAGAGCTGGAAGGGCAGAATCAGGCTCAGCTCAAGGCTTTTGGTAACAATGATGGGGGTTAGTGACCTGCAGCCCGAGGGTTAGGGCACCAACAAGGGAGGTGCATGGTGAGACCTTGGAAATGAACGGGGCCACCAGGATGCCCAATCTTACCAGGGGCATTTTCTGTACAGAACTAAGATTCGGAGGGACGCTGGTTCAAGGAATGCTCTGGCTCGATAAGCTGTGAAAGCTCAGGGAGTTCACTTAGCCTCCAAGCTTTAGCTTGTTCATCTGCTCAATGGGGGAATCCTGCTATCTACGCCACAGGGTCACTGCAAGGGGCACAGCATCCTTGTGGCCTGCTTGCCAGGAGCATCCTCAGTCACACGTAGCATGATCAGAGCCTGTGAGTGAATCTCTACCTGCTTACTAACACACTCTGAACAGGAAGCACGGAGGCTCTTGGGGCTGGGGTTGTGATGGGTGTGTGTGTGTGTGTGGTTAAACTGCCTCTGTGTTGCCTGCATCCCATGTCGGCGTGCGGGTTTCAGTCCTGGCTTTGCTCTGTTTCCAGTCAGGATCCCTGCTAATATGCCTGGGAAAGCAGCAGGTGATGGCCCAGATACCTGTGTGGGATGTTAGCCGGAGGGCTTGGAGGCAGGCAGAAAGCCCCTAGGTGATGCCAAAAGTTCCTGCTGAGAATAGCTGCCCCAGACCCATGTAAATGGAGCTGACCAATCAGAAGACAACACATACCTTTACCTCGAGCCCCGTTGTCACAAGGACTGAGTGCTCAGTGCAGGTGCGACTTCAGCGGCCTGCTACCTCAGCTTCCCTGCAGGCCAATGACCCTCGCCCGGGAGCAGATTTCCATAAACCTGGGTTTACCATCATTCTGGTCTCGGTAGTCCCACTGTTTTGGCCTACTCTGAGCTGCTGCAGATGGCAGAACTCTCTCTCTCTGCCATTCAAATTAATTAAGCAATCTTTTTTTTTTCTTAAGAAATTCCCCTTTCATATCTCCTCCATTGGGTCCAAGTATGCTGAATGTCCCAGGGACTTGTCACAGCCACACAGAGCAGGCAAAGGCCTTCTCATCCAGAAAGAACAGCCTGTGTCCCTGGACCCTAGCATGGGCACATCCAGGTGCACCTGCCTACAGTAGTCATAGGTCCTCCCTCGCCCACATGCCCTAGGCTGCACTTGAACTGAGGCTCTGGGAGAGACAGGCCTAGGAGCCATTTCAATGGGCACAAACGACAGCTCCAAAGCTTTCCCTGGGCTGCCAGCTGCTGGGGGTTTTGGGGGGTAGGAGTGGACCTGGCTCACTTTCCAGTACGTCTGCCCACAGCCTTGGCCCTGCTCACGTGGCCTGAGCCCTGTGACTTACAATGGGGCTCTATCTGGGGCCTCTTGCTGGCAGTTGGGGCCAGCTCCTCCGAGGGTTGATTCTTCAGCAGGAACAAGGCAGCCATTGTTCCTGGAAGTGTCCTCCTCCCCTGCCTCGGGTCCCACTGGCTACAGACCACACCCCCTTGCACGGCCAGCTCTGCCTGTAGGTATTGACTCTGCCAACTCTCTGAAGAGTGGCCCTGCGCCTGGGGTCCAGGCATTGGCCCGAGCTGGCCCACCTGTGGCACAATCTGACACTTCCTGCCCCTATGGGACCATCCCCCTGGGTGCTGCGTGAGTGTAACCAGTGGTCCTGGCTGCTTGGCCTGATGGGTCTTCAGGGACAATGCCAGGAAAGGGCTGGGCATCCCATAGGGAGAGGTAAAGTGCTGACTTTTGGGGTTCATGGCAGAACCTGGGGCTGCAGCAGCAGCAGCAGCCTAGTTCTTCCTGAAGGCACCGGAAGCTGCTGTCCTCTGCCTTCTCTGTCACAGTCGATGCCACCATGATTCCCAGACACGCAGCACCTGCTGCTTGTAACGAGGCTCCCGGGAGCAGCTTGTGCACTGAGTGCCCAAAACACGACCCTTGTCCCAGGGACAGCTGGGACTCAGATCATCTCCATGCTGCACCACACCTGAGGTCAGAGGAGACTGACCAGACCCCAGGGTCTGACCCTCCAGCTCAGGGCCCTGTTCTGTCAAGACACAGGTGTCTACGGGTGGCTTGTGTGGTACCAGCTGTTCCCAGCCCTAGCCTGTACAGATCTGACAGCACCTGGAAGTGTTTGCGAGGAAGAGAAGGAAGGGGAGCCATAAATGAATTTCTTCTCTTTGTGTGTCTACGCATGTATCTGAGAGAATCCACCCTGGAGGCCACATTCTTACTGTCTCAATAACGGCTGCTCTCCGCAGGATGATAAGAGCCCTGGTTCCGCTTTCCACCTCTTGGCTCAGGACCCATCTCGCAGAGCAAGTGAGGGGGAGGGGAGCTGTTGCACTGAGTTCACTCCCATGAACAGACACCTGTAGCTAACGCCCAGACGCCACTGGCAGCGACAGGCTTCTGGGGTCAGGAAACCCAGGTCAGGGTCCTACCTGCAGCCCTCTTGTTCTTGCTATGGTAACCCTGGCCTGGACGTCAATATCAACATTCCCCACCCCCTAGAAATAGCGGTGGATTCCAGAGACATTCCAACCTGTTTGAAGTCACTGTCCAGTGTCTGGAGAGGCTCAGAGGAGGGCTGGTCTCTGTTGATCCCTGTCCATGGCTGCCCTGGCCAAACTGTCCAGCTTCCCTCCCCAATGCCCCTATGGCGACTGCCTGGTGCTAGTGGGCCATCCAGGTACCCTCCCCCCTCCCGCCTTCGCGCCCCCTTCTCCCTGCACCTGCCCCAGGACTGTTCTGCTAAGGGAGAAATGCAGAAACAGATCTGATCACTCCTCACTTAAAACTCTCTAATGGCTTTCCACAGCTTTCAGAAACAAGCTGGTCTGCTTGCTCTGACCCTTGGTCTAGCCTGCCCACTGACCTTGACTTTCAATACCTCCCTTCCCTGTTCCCTCTGCTTGAAACCCTCTTCCCTCAGCATCTTCCCTGGCACCTGCTCAGTGTCCTTCTGTGTCTCAGCTCTCCCCTTTTTGGACCATCCAGCAGGCAGCACCTCTGGGTCCATCTCATTGCCTCTGGTTCTGCTGTTGGTTCTGTCTCCCTTGCTGGGCTGCCAGCTGCTCTCAGGCAGTGGCGTGGGATGGTCCTGTTCTTCTTTTTGTTTGTTTCTTTTTCAATTTTTTTTCCATCCTGTTTTTGTAAGGGACCCTGGCTCTCATTCAGCAACTGGTACTGAGGGGCTCACCATGCATTCAGGGAGAGGAATCAGATAGGCCAGGCAGTGGCAAAGGATTGGTTGTGTGGTGGGAACATTGTCCCTGCATTGTCCCTCCCCTGTGGGGACCCAGGGCACCCCATCACCATCACAACAAACGAGGGATCAACTCCCTGAGAGTGCCATTATTTAAACATTGGAGAGTTCAGCATCCAGTGGGTGCTGCCTCCCTGCCTCAGGTGTGGCTCAGGAAAGGGGGCCCACCAAAGCCTGGTCTCTCCTGGTTACTGGGGTGGGAAGAACACAGAGCCAGCTCACTTGGGTTAGGGAGTCTTCTCCTTGCCTGGGGCATCAATGATCTGTGGTCACAGTTACTTCCCGCCCTCCCCGGCACCTGCAGGGGCCATCACTGCTAACCGGAGGACCAAGGAGGGTCACTCACTCTCCACGTAGAACACGCCCACTTTGTCCGAGTCTGAAGCGGAAATGTAGAGAACCATCTCGTAGCCGGCAGGCAGGCGGTCAGGGCCTTTGGTGCGTAGGATCATCTGGGACATGTCCTTGAGGTCTGAGGGGCAGACAGGTGCCAGGGAGGTTAGATGGCTGGGGTAGTGGCTGGCCTCTGCCTTCTGCTTTGGTGACACCTGCGAATATTCGGGAGACCACAGAGAAGCAAGAAACTCGCAGCACAGAGCACCTCCTACCAGCCTTGTGGGAGGATGTCCCTCTATTCCTCCTCTTCCCCTTGTTTGCCAAAACACGGCTTTGTGCATCATAGGAGGCTAGAGCACCAGTATTCCCCAGATCCGCCAGGGGTCAGGGCCCGGATCAAAGCTGCCAGCCTGGCAGGAGGCTCTTCTGGTGGGCATATCAGTGCCACGGCTTTGCTGCCAGGTGTCCTCTGAGAAGGACACGGGCTGTGGCTGGGATTGCGTGGGGCCACTTGCTACCCTTTCCTCCTGCCTTCCCATGATCCCGCAGGGTCGTTTCTAGCCAGCGATTCTGGGGTTTAAATAATGCTGACACGTTCACTCTACACTTTATCACCCACTAAGAATTTTTAAAAATCACATTTCCTGTTCAGCTGCTTCCTGCCACAATCCCTTTTTTGTTGGATAAGCTTTCCCCCAATTTTTTGGTTTTGTGTTGGGCTTTTTGGCTCACTACCGATTTCTGTTTGTTAACTAGAAATCTGTGAGCGGAATGCTAACACATCTCAATTTAGTTCCAGAATGTCAAGAATTGAAGAGTGGGTTTAAAAGAAAAACAAAGCAAAACAAAAACAACAACAACAAAAAAACCCCCACAAAAAACAGCACATCTCATGGAACAGGATCCATGCTTTTGTTTTTTGCTGGTGGGGGTTGTAGTTCTCATTCCTGGGAGACCCAGGTCCACATCGGCTCCACCCTCGGCCCCGCCCAGGCAGGAGTGTGGCCTGTTTCTGCCCACGCCCATGGAGAAGGGGGTCCCTCTTGTCGGCACCTTCCTTGCTGTACACCTTCTCATCACCGCAGTCCTCCTTGGGTGTCCAGGGCGTGTCGCGGTCACAGTTGACCAGCAGGATGGCTCCCTGGCCCTCGGGTCCCCAGGTCCAGGATGCCTGCAGCGGCAGGAAGAGAGGTCAGTGGCCTCTCCTCTGTGCCCACATGGACCCCAAAGGAGAGACAGTCACAGGACACAGGAAAGAGTGGCCAGTGCACACCAGGGCAGCCGCCACTTGCAGTTGGGATGCCCAGGTCTGATGTCCACGGAGGACCAGTCTGGGCATCAGAGACAAGTTCAGCAGAGACGCTGACCATGACATTGGTGGGCCTCACATGGCTGCCTGGTAGGGTGAAGGCGGGCAGGCAGAGGGCAGCTAGAGCGTGAGAAACAGACTTTCTATGACAGGCCCTGCTATCCCCTGGGGTTTGCATGATGAGTGCTCCAAGTGGGACCTGCCTGGTCCTTTCAGAGGCCTGTGGGAACAGACTGACCTGATTACTGCCCGGCTTTGGGGCCCATGAGGGGATCCCCTCTAATTTGTATCAAGTCCAAGTCCTCATGGGTCCTCTTTCTCCTTGTCACATCTTCTCTGCTTTGCCCCTGGCTCTCTGTGCCTCACATAGTGGCAGCCTCACTGCTGCCCAGATTCCAAGCTCCTGGGCCTTTGCTGGTGCTGGTCTATCATCCTGCCTCTCCTGGCCCTCTCTGTTCTCCCTTCCCATCTCAGCATAGCTGCCCATTCTTCCAGGAAGCCTTCCTGATTGTCCAGAATAGAGTTACACCTGGTACTTGAAGCATCCTTTCGGGGAGCACTTGGGACAGTCGTACCAACACAGCCAATGTGCCATCATTTCTTGAATGTGGGTCTCACCCACCCATGGACTCTGGGGGAGGTGCTGTGGGTCTCTGAACCTTTCTGCACCCCTGGACCTGAGCTGGTTCTGCAATATCTATGACTCCCAGCACTCCTTACCAGGTTGAGTCAAGAGAATGGGAAAGCATCATTGGACCAGGTGTAGAAGTGATAACCAAGTTTAAGCCCTCAGGGCTGGTGTGACTGCGGAGGATGCAAAGCTCCTGGGAGGAGGTGGGAAGCTGGACCTCTGCTGACTGTGTGTGTGCGCACAGGCCTGACTCAGGGCTGAGGAGTACCCCACAGAGGAGCCTGGAGGACAGGGAACCCCAGCTGGCCTGAAGTCCCAACACATGAGCTGAGCAGAGGAGAGTCACAGCCAGGCTGCAGTTACCCTACCTTCTAAAGCCTCCTCTGTTTCTAACATATCCCAGGCAGCCAGTGATTACTCTTAAAGTCACATATCCCATGGCAACAATGCAATCGCAGGAAGGCAGGACATCACAGACAGAAGCACGACCTGGAGGGGCATGGAGCCACCCTGATTGGCCCCAAGACCTGGTTTAAACAGAAAGCCAGAAGAGCAGAGGCGGGGAATGTCACACTCTCTGCACAACTAAAAAATGCATGCATGCCCGCCATGCCACCTGCCACGCCACCCACTTCCTAGGAAGACATGGGCCTTGTTTGGGGAGCAGCGGGGGAAGGCAGATGAAGGGAGAGAAACAAATGCCTCAGGAACATATGAAGGAGAGAGAGGAATGAATGAATGAATGAATGAATGAAAGCAGAACGGGGGTAGGGTGAGGGGCTGTGGCTGCTGCCCCAGAGGCAACAGGCCTTGGGTTGAGAGGGATTAAGGCACCTCCCTATGTCCTCAGCTGGCAAAGAAAAACGACAGGGTCAGGGCAGACCCCTCTACTGCACCCGCTCTGTGCCAGTGCTTCTGTCTTTCCCAGCAGTTTCATGGCCCGGGTGGGGACTGTGGAGAGCAGGGACATGCTGTGGCTGGGGGAACATGCTCAGAACCTGCTCTGCAGGTGCCCCTCAGAAAGCCTGGGCAGGGGGGCTCTGTCCCTGGTGTGCTGTGTGTCTGGGAGCTGACTGGGGGCCTCAGTTTGCTGCTCTGAGAAATGGACTCAGTGGGGAGGACCAGGGCTCCCAAGTGCCGGGTGGGTCTGCCACCAGAACAGGTACCTTCTGTGGGTTGTTCTTCTCCACCACACCATCTCGGTCTGCGTCCACGTCCAGGGAGATCTCTGGGGACAGGAGACATGGGTGAGCTTCAGGGCCAGCCACTGGGGTTGGCATGGGCATGAGAAGGTCCAGGACCGTTTGTTCACTTGGACACTGGAAAGAGAGGGCCTTGCCAACGTCCCTTCTCCTGATGCTGCAGGCCAGGCAGCTCCTAGCTCCCAGCTCCCAGAAAGGAGGTGGGAAGCTCTGGACCCTCCTGGCCCTTTATGGCTGTGTGTGGCAGTGGAGGGCGTGATCTTCTGGATACCTCTCGGGGTCTCTGTTCAGAGAGGTGAAGTTACATGGCCAAGGTCACTGGGTGGTGTTAGCAGAACTGGAGTGCTCCTTGCTTGTGTAGTCTGATTACTAGCTTGCAGCTTGGAAACTGACAAATCCAACACTTGCTGACTGCCTTCCCAGCCTGTCCTGGTACAAGAAAACCTTTCTCTCTCTCTCTCTCTCTCCATTGCTCCCTCCACCCCCCAGAACTCCCAAGGTCTACATTGCATGTCCAGGGACCAAGGGTTTCATTCTGGAGGTGCTGTGTCCCTCAAGTCTCTCCATGGGAGGGGTGCCTGTATGTCCAGGGCTCCTGGGAAAACCTGGGGCTCCTTCCTGGCTTCTCATGGGAGAAGGACTCTGCCATGCACACAGTCCTGTGGGGGCTGCGGTATTAGATGGTGGTGGGCTCTAACATTTGCTTGAGTCAGGAAACCATGAACAGGCTGCATCACCCTTCAGAGGCCTTGTTTGCTCACCTGTACCAGGACACCCTTCTGGCTACAAAACCTGCACTAACTGCCCTCGGGGGTTCTGGGCATCTTGAGCAATGCGGGGGACTGCCCTGGGCGCTGCATGCTCATGATGCCCGCAAGGTGCCATTAGATGCCCTAAGATGACAATCACATGTGCCTCAAGACACTGTCAGATGTTCTTGAGTGGTAAGACTGAGTTAGACACTCACAGGCTGGGCTCAGGGTGTTGCGAGCAGGCCCTGGCACTGTCACAGAGTGAGGTGTGCCAGCTCCAGGGCCCAGAGGAGACTCGTCCACACAGGCATGACTTGGACCGTGTTGGGACTGGGGTGGGAGCAAGTGCACCCCTGGCAGGTGGGGAGAAGGGTCCTGGCATAGGAAGGACACTGATGTTATTTCCTCCTTGGCCCAGTCCATATGAGTCAAGGCTCAGGTTCAAGTCCTCCATGTGCATAGTTGATTCCTTCCTGACCCTGAAGGTGGTTTTTTCTGGGCCCAGAAGGAGGTAGGAAGCCAGAGACTATAGGGTCCTTAGTGTTGGCAGCTGCCAGTGCCCTGGGCTGTGCTGGCACTGCGGGGTGTGGCTCCATTAGCACCTGCTGCTGATCTCCATAGTCCTGAGTGGGGCACCGGGCAGCTCACCCAGAGCGGCTGCTCTCAGGGGGTGACCAAGGTAGCACCCAGGTCATGGGTGAGTGCACCTAGGCTTGGGGAGATCCCTGCTGACACACCACACTGACCCCTGCAGGGAGGTCTCTAGCAGAAGAAGGAGACGGCCTCCCAGCTGCTGCTGAGGAGGCTGAGGGCTTGGGGGCACACCAACACAGGCGTTGACTTCTTCCCAGACCTTCTAGAACTTTCCTGCTGGTCCTACTCAGAGGATGCTGCAGATCCAGCTTCCTGCAGGAGCCACTCCTGGGGTGCAGCAGATCCTACCAGCTTCAATAGCTGCTGGGAACCACCCCTACCATACAACACGTGTGGAGAAACTGAGGTTGAATTAGGCTCAGTCCAGGTTAACCTACTTGGTGCTGGATGGTCCCTGCACACCCTGTCCTGGCCTACGACCCTGGACTCTGCCTGACTGCATTGCAAGTCTCCTAACTTCAAACATTCCTCGTAGTCTGTGGGAACCCTCTCCTGTGCCTGCCACCCTCCCTCAGGGCTCCCTCCTCCAAGTTCCTCCCCCCCCCCACCTCCCAAAGTGTCCCTTGCAGGGGTGTCCCCAGGGAGCCACACGGCATGGTGCTTGTAGGGACAGAGTCCAGGGCTGTCCCATCTGTCAGAGTGCTGGTCTCCTGGGTGGCTCAGCCTTTCCCAGGGGAGGGATATGTCGGGGAGGGTTGGGTTGTGGTGGGGAGCAGGGAGCGGGACGCTGTGGGGGTGTGGGAGGCACCTGTTTCAGGGCCTCTAGGCTACAGGCATCTCCCGGAGGCTTTGGGTCCTACCTCAGCTCCCAGGAATAGCCCAGGCATCAGGTGGCGCCTGAGTGTGGGACGCAGTACCGAGAAATGTCACTAGGAGTGGGCTCAAGGCAATCTACCCCGGACCGAGACATTGAGGCACAGGCTGGCCAGGAGACGGGAGTGTGGGGGAGGGAAGGGGGGCTAGCCTGGCCCCAGTTATCCTGGGGCTCTGGGTTGGACTGAGGGGGTGCAACAAGGAGGGGCTCCTTAGGTTGGTGCTAAAACTGCCCAAGGTCCACACTCACAAGATCTTCAAAAGGTTTGCAGAAACAAGTGTGAATCATGAAAAATCTGGGTGGATTTAAAAAAAAATATTTTTGGGGGCTCAAAATAAACTCATTTTTAAAGATACCATTATTTCCATGAACTGTTTGAAGGCCCTGTGTGTGTGTGTGTGCGTGCGCAGCTGGTACTGTGGAGCCCATGGCACAGGAAGGGAGGGGGTTGTTCCTCTCCATCTCTAATCCCCCATCCTACCCTTCAACCAGGAAGGCTTTGCAGAGCAGTCCCTGTGGGAAGCTTGAAGGCTTGCATGGGTGGCTTAGCTCCAGACCCTCCCCCAGAACTTGGACAAAGCAAGGCCCAGAGAGGGTGGGCTTCTTGTTGAGGTCACAGTGCAAAGTCACAAGTCCTTGGCAAGGACCTGGAAGCTGGACCTGTGGCCTGATTTGGTACAAGGAATGGTGAGCTTGTTCCCAAATCCCAGGGAACGACTTTGCCCCAGGCAAAGAGAACCTGTAGTGGCCTGGGAGGAAGGGAGGCAGGAAATGGCAGTCGCCCTGGTGAGCACCTAGTCAGGGACCTCTGCATGGGCCCTGTGCACCTGCCATCCGTCCACTCCTGCACGGCACCATGGGAAACTCATTCTGCAGGGTCACAGTGTGGCAGCAAGGAGCAGAGCTGGAACTTGGGCCCATTTCCAGTTACTTTGTAGTGCTAAGTGGGCTTGGAGGGGCTGCCAGTGAGATGGAGTCACCTCTGTGCCTGGGATGCCCAGGGCGACCCTGCCTCGGAATGGGGGCTCCAGGGCTCCCGAGGAAGATGCCTGAAGGAAGAGAGGACCTGGAGGGGTCAGAGAGACCAGGGAGTCTCAAGAGAAACCCCAGGATCCCTGAAGGACTGGGAACCCCAGGTTAAGTGGGGGTGAGCTGATGTCCCTCGCAATGCCCATGACGGCCTTGTGCTCTGAGATGAGGCCCTGTCTGCCTCACGAGTGAGCATGCTGTGGGCATACTGGATGCAAGCTACTCCACGGATCCTTCTGCTGTATTCCTGTACCAGCACTGCAGTTGTCTCTTATTTTGGGGAAAGGGACATTTTACAGGATCTGCCTGTCTGGGACTTGGGACCATGACAGAATTCATTACTAACAAGTGAAAGCATGGTACCTTAGGGTTGGAGCGTGGGTACCTGGGATCTCTCTCCAGCCGAGGGGAGAGCCAGGCCTGCTAGAAGGCTCCTTACGGGCACAGGCAGCCCTCTGGTTATTACTTGCCTGGTCCTGGCCTTTGCCCTTCCTACCCCCACGTCCTCAGGCGTCCTTGTCTCAGTGGGGGTTGAGTTTCCTTGGTGACGGGACATTTGAGATGGCCTGGGCATGGCGGGTGCAGGCGAAGCTCAGGCACGTGCCAGGGCTCGCCCGAGGCAGGAGTTTTTGGTTACCTCCCCCTCCCCCTGCACAGGGCCCCTGGGGTCACGCTCAGGTTTCTCACTGCAGGGCAGGGCACCCCCTCCAGGCAGAGAGAGGGTCAGGGTGATGGGTGAGCAAAGCCGCTCAGGAATGAGGTGTGAAATGGAAGTGCTTTGGCTCCAGCCTCTGCCAGTGGTGGCACAGAGCAGGCTGCAAGAGGAGCCTACTTTCTGGGGAGGTGCTGAGCTCCCCCCCCACCCTGGGGAGGGGGAACCCAGGAAGTGGCCTGATTGCCACCCCCCACTCTGTCAGGGTGTGGCTTGCTGCAGCCTATCTGAGCCTTGCTTTTCTCACCTGCACAAGGGGGCTGTTAATGGTGTCTACCCTGGAAAGGGCTCTATGGACAGACAAAAACTGCAATGGCAGAGTGTCTGCTCTTGGGGCCTGGCACACGGTGGGTGCTCCCTAAGCAGTAGGGAACATCCCACCCCTCTTTCTCCTCCCTTCCTCCTCCCCTCTCTCTCCATCATAAAGTGCCGAGCACGGTCCTAGACACGGCGCAGGGGCTGAGCCGACAGAGTTCTGTTGGAAGCCTCAGCATGCAGTCAGGGCTCCTTCCCCTCCCGCGTGCAAGTCTGTCAAGGTTAAAGCAGGGCTGGGTAGACAGTCAATCCCTCTGAAATGTCCTCCTGGCTCAAGTAGTCAATGATTTCAAAATAAGATAAAAGGCATGCAGGAGGTGATGGGGGTGAAGTCTGACTGCCAGCTGAGCAGAGGGCATGTCCGAGACTCAGGCCGCACATCCCCTGCCTGCAGCCTGGCTCCTGCGGCCCGGTAGCTGGTTCGAGAGAAAGGAGTAGGAATAATCACGGGTTCTGGAGCTGGCTGGCCATCAAGTTGCTGTGTGATTTTGAACAAAGTCCTTAACCTCTCTGGGCCTTGTGAGTCACATCATGGACATGGACCAGATGAATTAAGGATCCTGGGCTGCATCTCTGTGCTCCCCCGCTCCCTGCTGCACTGGGTATAGGGAGGGCAGGGGAGAGGCAGCTGGGCTTGCCAAGGACACCCAGCAGTGACCCCCACTCACCAATGGCTGTGAGGAAGAGCCCAGCCTGGTCGATGGGGGCGTTCCCCTCTTCTTCATAGTAGCTGACGGTGACCTGGTGGGGACAGCACATAGGGGCAGTGAAGAGCAGGGGTCATGGGTCACAAGCAGGGGAGCACAGACAACCCTCCCTGCCTTGTGCTTGCTGAGCCCTCTCTGATCCCCTGAACCCCCTATTCCAGAAAGCACCTGGGCTGATGTGCCCATATAACTGAACCAGGCGGTTGGACTCCCCTCGTTGGAGAGTATGCCAGGAGGCCAGAGGCCCGTGGCCCCTGGGGTATTCTTCCATCTGCAGGTCCATGTGGGTGTCTCCTTCCTCCTGAACTCCAGGGGCTGGGGCTGGGGGCTGTTGACTGAAAATGATGCCCATTGCCAGCCCCTGGTGGAGCACATGGTGACGGTGGCCTTCAAGAGTCCAGGTGAGGGGACAGCTCTGGTTCCAGCGTCACCACTGTGCCCGGCCTCAGGCACTTGGTGTCCCACAATGGCTTATGGCTGTCACTTATGATCTCGTGGTTCTGAGAACAGGGTGCCTGGCACTGCCAGTCCCTAGGGTCTGCCCTGACTGTCCTGTCTATACAGCAACCCCTCGGCCCATGTGGCTACTGAGCACTGAACATGTGGCTTTGAATGAAGTCCCTAGCCCCTCTGGACCTCATGGGCCAAATGACTCATGGGGAGCAGGTCAGTCAAACACCCAAGGCTGAACTGTCCGTGACTCCAGAGTTGGGTCTGGGGAGGGCTGGGGAGTGGTGGGTCCCGGCTGAGATGTGCTGAGCATGTAGAGTACACGCTGGATTTCGATTTGGTATGTAAAGGGAGCAAAGATGGTCTCATTCATTTCTTATATGGATGCCATGTCTGAATGACATGCAGCTAGACTACAAGTATACTATATTACAGAAATGAATTCCACCTACTTCTTGCTGTGTCCTTTATTGTGGCTCTGAGAAAGCAGAAAGCAGCACAGGTGTCTGGTCTAGGCCACCCAGATCCCAGCATGACCCCCAGGCTCCTGTCCCCCGTGGAGGGTGGTTGTCCACACCCGACCCCCACCTGCCACATGGTACCTTGTCACTGCTGGCTTCGGTGCTTGCCTGGCTCATGGTGAGCCGCAGTGTGGTGCTGGGCGAAAGGTGCCAGCGCTGCTTGCCGTTGGTGGCCACCTCATCTGCCTCCCCGTCCCGTACCACTTCCACCCACACGCCTTCCGAGTGCTTCAGACTGAAGGTCCGGGCTTCAGCTGGGGCCGCACTGTGGGAGAGAGGAGTGGGAGTTGGGGTGGGGGCAGACTAGGTGGGAGAAGGGTGAGACTTCTGGAGAAGCAAGCCAGTAATGGTGAGGGCCTTCTGGGTTCCCTGGTATGGGGGACTTCCCACCAAAGGACCCAGCCATGCTGGATGCACTGGGCAGTAACGATGGGTGAGTTTGAGCCATTTGAGTCAGTGGCTGGATGGGGGCGGTGGGCAGCCTCTACTGGGTTTCTCTGCACGTCTGATGTTGGAGGCAGCTCTGGTGGGTCAGGGAACAGGTGCTATGGTGAAGATGGATGACTGAGGTCCAGACAGAAGGAATTTGCTGCAAGGCAGAGTGGGACCTGGAATCCTGGTTCCCGGTCTCTGAGAAAGTGCCTCCAGCAGCTAGGCCGATGCCAAGGGCCTAGAATTCCATCTGGGTCTCCCAGGTGAGCATTAGCAGAAAGCTGCAATGAGCAGTACTGCTGAGGCTCAAATCTGGTCCTCTGATTCAGGTCACAAGTGTCCCAAGCAGGGTTTCTTTTTTTTTTTCTTTTCTTTTTTATAAATTTTATCGCAAAGTCAGATATACAGCGAGGAGGAGAGACAGAGAGGAAGATCTCCGTTTGATGATTTATTCCCCAAGTGAGTGCAACGGCTGATGCTGTGCCAATCTGAAACCAGGATCCAGGAATTTCCTCCAGGTCTCCCATGAGGGTGTAGGGTTCCAAGGTTTTGGGCCATCCTCGACTGCTTTCCCAGGGCACAAGCAGGGAGCTGGATGGGAAGTGGGGCTGCCGGGATTAGAACCGGTGCCCATATGGGATCCCGGTGCATTCAAGGCGAGAACTTTAGCCCTTAGGCCACGACGCTGGGCCTAAGCAGTGTCTTTCTTAACCACTGTGCCAATACCTGCTCCCAGCTCTAGGTGCTGCTGGGGCTGCAAGACATTCAGCCAGGCTGCCAGGGGTGGCAAGGGAAGGTTGGAACCCAGTAAGGAGCTGGTGGAGACTAGAGGACAGCGTGGTACAACACCTCGTGTTTAGCTAAGGCAGCATGACTGCCAGCAGGCTCGTTTTCAAGTTCAGGATGTTCCCACTGACCCGCCTAAACAAGGTCATGCCAAGAATACCCGGCGCTTGTGAAGTTTTACGTTAACTGAATCTCGTGAAACCTACGCATTGTGATGGTTCCAACAGACTCCCCTGTGGCCCCAAGGATCTGCATGATCGTTAACGCTTGCTTCCTCGGGTCTATCCGGTGCTTGCCACCGTACAAGCTGCACTCCGGGAGGTGCACATCCAGTGGCCTGCCTGAAGCCTCTCAGCCCAGCTGCCGCTCAGAACTTCTCCAGTGAAATCTATTTCTTTATGACTTCAGGATAGTCCACTTTGCCTGAACCATCTGTGGTTGGAGAATGGGTGTTGGAGACATCTAGCAGGGTGGTTGGGTGCTTAGTGACCCGGGCGGACAAGGCTACAGGTGAGGGGGGTCTCTTCCTGATGAGGGTCCCAGGCAGCAGGGGCTCCTGGCAGAGCCAAGGCGTTGGCAGGACAAGCATGGGTGGGAAGCTCAGGAAATCAGTTCAGGGCTACTCCTGCCCCTCCCAGCTCTGAGGAGCTGGGCCCATGGCGGCTGGGTGCTTGGTGGCCTTGGCTGGGTGCCCTCTGTTCACATCATTGTTAGCAGGGGCTGGATCCGGGGCCCAGCATATCACACAGCCAGTCAGGAGCAGGATGGAGCGGAGGTAGTAGGTGGGCCTTTCCCACAGGGAGGACAGAGTCAGGTGTCCAGGCAACTGTGGCTCAACCATGCTAAGCAGGCAGCTTCTCTTCATGGCAACCAAGAAAGGGACACCGTGCTGTCCCCATTCAAAACAAAGCGATCAGGAAAACCTGAGTGGCCTTTAAGTGGGTGGATGGAACCGGCTGGGGCAGCAGGAGTCCAGGGCATGGGGCAGGGTTCGGGCAGAACGCGGGAGAAAGCTGTGGAACGCCAGTGCAGGGGGTTGTCTCCTGGCTAGGTGCCTGCCCACCTGGACCTGGACGGCCACGACTCTGCCACCTGGCTTCATCTCTGAGCTGCAGTTTGGAAGAATGGCTTCACACACACACACACACACACACACACACACACACACACACACACACACACACACACACGACTCTCACCCTGATTCCCTGTGGGGTGCACACCATTTGTCTTTATCCCACAGAGCCAGTGAGCAATTAGAAGAGGTATTGACAGCTCAGGGGTGGGGTGGGGGGTGGCCATGCTCGGGCCCCACGCCCTCCTGCCACGCAGCCCCAGTCCTGCCCTCCATGCTGAGCCCATGGCTCTGGGCAGACAAAGGCAGCCAGTGTTCTTTGCATCCTGTTGGCTGCCTTCCACCCCGGAGGAAACTCTTAGGACCCGTCCCCACCCCATTACCCCTGCAGAAACCTGAGAGCTGGGGCACCTGGGCACTCACTGTCCCTGGAGGCAGTGGGGAGTGGCCCAGGGCAGCGTAGAGGGCAGGGGAGTGACTGGGGTGGTTATGGCCCCCTGGCACCTTGCCCGCATGGTATCCTAGCACCCAGGTTGTGGCTGTGCTCAGCGTCACCTGGGGAGAAATGAATGAATGAATGAATGAATGAATGAACTCATCCTTTCTGGCTGCCAGGACACGTAACCAGTGAATGGCAGAAATCAGTCACGGGCTAACCTAAATGTCCAGAAGCCCCTTGGTGCCTACTGAACTACAGACTGCAGATCCTGTTGCCTGGCGTCTAGCTGGGGATGAGCGGTCAGCAGCTCCTCTGGCTGTGACTTCTCTGCGCACAGCTGTGCAAATGCTGCTCCTTCGACTGGAAACACCCTTCCCCACATTCGCCACCTGCCAAGCCCATCCCTCTGGGAGATGCGGCTCCATCTGCTGCCCTCAGCTTTACCTCCTCTCATGCCTTCTTGAAGGTACAGTCTGTACCTTCTTTTTGTTTCTGTGTTTTAGTACCTGGCCGGGAGCAGGTGCACAGTAAGGACAAGCATTTGTTGTAGGAAGGGACGAGAGAAGACTCTGTGGTCTTTCAGTCCGTTAACCCCGAGGGCTCCCGGAGCTGGCTGGGTGAAGAAGAGGACATGGAGTTTGTGTTCAACAGAGGACACGATTCTGGTGCGATCCAAGCTGTGAGAATTGCAACAGAGAAGAGGCATGGTGCCTCCAGGCCCTGGTCTGGGCTTCACGGGCAGCTTCCTGGAGGAAGTGGCATTTGTGCTGTGGGCTAAACTTTGTCCCCCTCTGGAGGACAGGCCTGCATGGCTTCAAGTGGTACTACCAGCATTTGAAGCTTGTGCTCCAACCTCACCACTGCTGGAGCCTGGAAACCTGTATTCCTATCAGGCTCCCAAATGATACTGATGCTCCTGGTCCAGGGACCATGGTCTGAGAACTACTAGACTGGATGAAAAAGGGAGAGGGACAGGAAGTGAGATTCCCCTCCTTGGGAAGTGAGGATGGCGTGGATGGGTGCTACATCAGCAGGTCTGGAACCTGGAAGGAGGTGGTGTGGCTGAGGGAAAGCAGGGCTATGGAGGCTATGGAGGGAGGAGAGGGCTCGGTCACTGGCAGTGGAGGGGGACATCGGCTTGAAGGGCCTGGGTGGCTCACTCAGCACCCAACTTGAGGCCATGACACGCCTGCCCCTGGCTGACACCTGCCTCTTGCAGCTTGTCCATCCGGCCTGGGCCTCGTTAACACCTGTTGGGGTGCCCAGTCCCGGAGTGAGCCTGGCTCCTGGCAGCCTGAGTGTGACATCCTGCCCTTGGGTGCTTGGGGGAATCTTAGGGGGAGCCCAGCCGCTGGCCTGGCCAGGAGGGCAGCCTGGATGCTGGAAGCTGTCAGTTTAGGCCTCAGGCTGGCAGAAGCCCTGGTGGCACGCAGCTGCTCCGGACGGGCCCCAGTGCAGGCAGGGCGCACCGAGCCTCCAGCGTCCTCCTCCATCTGGTGCCCCCAGCAGCTTCTTCCCCTAGACACTGGTGCCTCCAACTGCCCCAGACTCCTCTTTGGTGATCAACTGGCTTAGTCTAAGGTGACTGCCTTCCTCCAAAGTCTTCAATGGCTCCCTATTGTCTATCCCTGCTACCTTGACCCTGCCCTTCCTGCCAGGCGTGTTTGCTCCTGCAGGACACATCCTCAACCTGAGCCTTCACCCATCCTTTGAGACCCAGCTGAGTTTCCACCCCTTGCAGGAAGTCCTTCCTGAACTCCCCAGTCAGAAGACCTTTCCTTTGCAGGTTCCTCAAATAACACCCAACAAATGCCCACCACGCCTCTCCCACAGGCATTACAAACTCATTATGTTGTCTCATAGTCTTTGTGTCTGTAACAATATAGTAAACTAAATTCAGGACTGCCTCCTCTTGGGGACTCCATGAGCTCTGTGCCAATGCCATGCCATTTTATAGAGGGGTGCATTGAGGCCCGTGCAAGGCCAACACTTTCTCCTAGTCTCACGGACAGTAATGACAGACTGCCAGGTGCAGTAAGCACCCACATATCCAGCCCTGGCTGCTCCCATTCTGGGAGAGAATTCACCTTCCTGAAGTCCTTTCAGTAGGGAAGCTTGGAGGCAGGAGAGTCAGGCCTGGCTTAGGAGAGGACCCTGTGGGGGAGCGAGGGGCCCAGCTGGGGGATACTGCAAGCTGGCTTCCTGTTCCTGATTCTCTCTGATAAATGAGCAAGATAAGCAGGCTTGCACTGGTCTTGGACCACAGAGGCTGGCAGGGCCCCCAGTGGATAGGGCAACCTCTACCATAGTGTGGTAGGTGCCTGGCCAGCTGAGTGGTGGGCAGTGGGGAGAGTCCCTGCCACGGATTCCCACTGGGCCAGAGGGGGAAGACCCTCAGGGACCCCAGCTCTGCAGTGAGCAAGCTGTGGCCCAGGCCTGCCTCCCCACCCTCCCGCTGCCTGGGAGCTGGCCTGAACCCAGAGTCTAGGCGCCGCTCTGGCAGGACCTCCCAGTTGGGGCTGAAGGCCCAGGG